GGCCTGTGCTCCAGCAGGGTGCAGTGCTTTAGAAACCTTGTTGTGGGCACCGGCTGTTAGCGAGGCGTTTCATCTGAGTGCGTGCAGAGGAGGCCGAGCTACTTGAAAGGGCAGCGTTTCAAGAGGAAGCAAACAGGCCACTCGCTGCCCTCCCCACCCTAACGTGCCTGTACTGGCTTCCAGCTGGGACCCTGCGTGGGGGCTGAGGGGGGAAGTGACCGAGTCACAGGGCCGAGCTGTCCCCGGCTCTCACGGGAGAGCTCCGCTGATCAGGGCCAGAACACGAGTCCTTTATCTCCAAGAGACAGGCAGGGGGTTTGGTGATTATAATAATGTGACATTTTATCTCTGCTGAGCACTGGCCAGCCCTGGAAGGGCCCAAAACCCTCTTGAAAAGTCTGGCAGGACCCACGGGGTGTTCTCTTCCCTGCTATTGAAAAGCAGGTACACCTAAGATGAAGTCTCACTGCCTGGGATGCCCTCCCAGTTTACAGGCCAGGGCGAAGCCACACCTCAATCGCGGGTAAAACGGGCAGGAGGGTCACCTGAGCCTCCACCAGTGCACAGGCCTGGGAAAGCCTGGGACAGCTGAGGTCCCGCCTCGGTGAGTGCAGGAAAGGCCCAGAGGCCGGAGGAACTGAGCCGGCACCTCCTGTGGGTTGCGGTCTCTTTGAATCCTACAAACACCTGCAACCTGCAAGATGAGGAAACCGAGGCTCAGGCACATGGGCTGAGGGCCGATTAGCTCTATCCCTGCAACAAGTGCCTGATACATTGTAGCTACACAATAACCGCGACTGGAACAGCCACTGAGATGAACACAAACACTGTCAGGTGGGCCCAGGGCTTCCTGAATCAAGGAGGGGCTGAGCAACAGAAAGCTAAGCAGGTGCGAGAGAGATGCCAAGGGACAGGACAAGGGGATTCCACAGGCCCACGCTGCTCCCAGCTGCTCCTCTACCAACGGGCAGTGCCCTGGCGCCAGGCTACAGAGCAGGAGCAGGACCCACAAGGGACAGATCCTCAGGAGCCACTCTGCAAACAAGAGGCGGGAGAAGTGGTGGCACAAGCCTTCCTGGAAGCCCTGGGCCAGAGAGGCCCCAGAATCCGGAGCATGAGAAATCAACATTAGTTGGTCCAGTCACCTCCTCGGCCCCTTTGAGGAAGAGTAACCCATGCCGCGTGAGAGCGGGGGAGGCAGCCTTCCTGGGAGCCTGTCAGCGGTGTGGGCAAATCTCAGGACCGCCCTTGCCCTGCGGCCTTCTATGCCAGTCCTGGGAGCCGTTCTAAGGGATAATCCCGAAGGCAGACCCAGCTTAGTCACTGTTGCTCACAACACCAACAAACAGCCTTCCGCCCAACAACCAAGCAACAGTTCAATCATGAAGCACATCTGATANACACTTAGTCACTGTTGCTCACAACACCAACAAACAGCCTTCCGCCCAACAACCAAGCAACAGTTCAATCATGAAGCACATCTGATACATCCACACAGTGCAGGGCAATAAACTCATTTAAATGTGTGGAATGGTCCATTTTAATGCTGCCGGGAAATGATGGTAACTACTACTAAGAAAAGTATAAGGAAAAAGGTATGTGTGTGTGTGTGTATATATATAATATATACACACACACACATACATATGTGGATGGGAGGTAGGAAGGGAGACGCAAAGAGAAAGAAACATCAACATGGGAGAGATACATCGACTGGTTGCCTCTTGCAAGTGCCCCAACCAGGACTGGGGATCAAACCTGCAACCCTTTGGTGCACAGGATGAGGCTCTAACCATTGAGACACACCGGCCAGGGCAAGAAATATTTTCTTGTACACAATTTTACGTACTATGTTCATCATGGACTTGGCTAGGAAAAAAATGCAAAAAACATAAAAATACACAAACACGTAATAGTAGTTATCACTGGGTACTGGGGCTATGGGACACTTCAGTTTACACTATGGTGCATTTTCTGAATTCAAAAAGTGAGCGTGGTGCCCAGCCGGGGATGGCTCAGCGGTTGAGCGTCGACCTAGGATCCAGGCGATCAGGGTTCGATTCCCGGTCAGGGCACAGGCCCGGATAGCGGGCTGCAGCTGATCAATGACTCTGTCATCACTGATGTTTCTATCTTTCTCTCTCCGTCTCCCTTCCTCTCTCTGAAATCAATAAAGATATATTTAAAAACAAAACAAAACAAAAACAAAAACGAGCGTGGTGACTTTCATCATCAGACAGACGTTCTCGGTGTACTTGGAATTACGTTTGTAAACCACACACCAGTACCTGGCCCCACAGCGCCCTGCACCACTGGGACCAAAACCGTTCACACACACAGGAGTCCCGGCGGCTGCTCGGTGTGCCTGCGTCCGGAACGTGCTTTCGGGCCTCACCTGCAGGACTCGGGCCTGAGAGGGGCTGGGGAAGGGCGGCGCCCCCCCTCAGTTACTCACCCATAATTCCACAAGAGAAAAGTGTCGGTCCGTGACTCATCTTCTTTGGCGTGTGCTGAAAACAACCAGAAAAGCTATTCACTCTCCGAGTCATAAGAAGCGCGGCGCGTCTGCACACGACCCTCGCTGAGCCCTCACTAAGTCACAACCAGAGGGGCGACTGCCTGGCCGCGTCGGATTCGCAAAAGGAGAGGAGAGTGTTAACGGAGGCATCGGCCCGTCATCCAGCCTGGACTCTCTATCCAGGGCCTCCAGGGAGGTGTGGAGCCTGTCAAGTGAACAGGCTTCACATACCCACGAGCAAGCCCGTGACCTCTGACACTGGGGCTTCCCCGCGGAGGGAGGAGTGTGATGTGTGCAGTTCACGGAGCTGGGCTGAAAGGAGGCCTCCCCACAGCCCAGGCTGGGAGCGGAGGGGACCTCACAGTGGCAGGAAGGAGCTTGAGTGGACGACAGAGGCCCTTCGCCTCCCCCAGGCATCCTCCCTGAACCAAAACCGAAACTCGAAGGTCACCACTGCTCTCAACATACAGCGATGGCTTCTGAGCTGCTTGGCACTATCTTCCCACAGTGGCTCCCTTTCCACTGGGGACATTCTACATTGTCCCTCCACCCCTCCTAGTCCCAAGAGAACACTATGGCCACAGGATGAAAAACAGGCCGGGGAGGCGGAGCGGGGCCCTGAGTCCAGGCACTTGCTCTGCAGCTACACAGAAACCTGAGCTCAGACCATTCCCGGGTTCCCTGTGCTAGTTGAGGCCCAAGCTGAGAGGCCTGCCCTGACCTCTGGCGAGGAGACTGTGCCCATTGTGGCCTTAGGAAGAAGTATTCCAAAGACTCATCCGTCCATCCACCCACCCACCCATCCATCCATCCATCCATCCATCCATCCATCCACCCATCCATCCATCCATCCATCCATCCATCCATCCATCCATCCTTCCACTCATCAGCAAACCTGCACTAGGAACTACTCGTGCGGGCCATGCTATGGTTGACCAAGAACAGTGAAGGAAGCTCCCAGCCCCAGGACCCGGCTGGTCACAGATGGCTCAAGTCCCCAGAGGAGCCTAGGCCCTGGTTCTTTAAGGCCTGGAAGGGTGAGGGTGGGGCCAACAGGGACACCTGGCCCACCCAGATAAGAGGGTGCCGAGTGCCTGGCACCAGCTCCCCACCCGTCCCCAGCTGCCCAATTCAGGGACCTTTGTCCTCAGTCACATAGGTGATGATCCAATCAGGTTATTCAGGGGCAAAGAGGTGACGGATGCCCGCCCTGGCCCCCAGGAAGCTCACACCTCACGGAGGTCACAGGGTCACAGTCAAGCAGACAACCCTCACACAACAGAGAGAGTGGGGCTGCAGGGGAGGTCAGGGGCCAGCCCTGACCCATAGCCAGCAGGGGCCAGCCAACGCCGCNTCCATCCTGACCAGCCAGGGGCAAAGAGGTGACGGATGCCCGCCCTGGCCCCCAGGAAGCTCACACCTCACGGAGGTCACAGGGTCACAGTCAAGCAGACAACCCTCACACAACAGAGAGAGTGGGGCTGCAGGGGAGGTCAGGGGCCAGCCCTGACCCATAGCCAGCAGGGGCCAGCCAACGCCGCTCCTCTGCTCACCACCCTCCAGCAACCTCCCACAGCTACCAGAATAAAACCCAGGCCGCCCGCTCCCACAGCCCACCAGGCCCAAGTGAGCCAAGCCCGGCCCTCAGCCCCGCTAGGTGCAGCCTACCCCCCCCCACGCAGCTCGGCGGCAGGACGGCCCAGCTTGCTGCCACCGCAGGGCCTCTGTGGGGGCCTCCTCAGTGGCTTCCCCACCATGCTCGTCTCCATATGACCTTGTTTGGGGGCTGGGCCCCCCCATCAGTTCATTTGTTTCTGTGCCTATGGTCTGACCTCCCGAGACCTGAGCTCTAGAGGCAGCTGTCTTGTCCACAACATTCCCAGCACACAGTGGGCACCACGGGACTACCTGCTGTCGGCTGCCACGGCCACCTGTCAGCCCCAAGGAAGTGAGGCCAGTGGAAACGGATTTTCACTGGGCGGACCTGCTGCTCTCCAAGTCGCTGGGCTCACACCAGGTCAACACTCGGTGGGGAAGGGGAGAGAGCACCAGGCAGGCAGTCGGGGGACCCCAGGTCGGCCCAGGCTCCTCGAGTGGACTCTGACCCTGCATCTAAGGACACAGTGGACCAGCAATGGCTAACACTGAGATTTTACAACCTGAAGGAACCCCTTCCCAGGTCCCTTGTTGTAGGGGAACCCCACTCCAGGTCACCTAGTCAAACAAGGAAAACTGACAGACTGGTGGTGTGGCCCTACTTCTGCTAAAAGATGGTGCTAGGATTGCGCCTCGATCTCCCCTGGCACAGGGTGGGCACAGGACACGGGTGTGGCCGACCAGACCCCTCCTGGCTTTGAGGCTCTGGTTCCTGGACACAGCGGGGGCTGGGGCTGGCTCACCCAGTGGGAACGGCCGCAGCCTACCGTGAGCACCTGCTTCCACAGCCCCCCGAGCTGCCCCGTCCCTGCCCTTTCCAGGGGTTCATTCATCAGCTCTCCCCCAGTCCTACAGTCCTCTCCCAGAGCTCCAGCAAATTCTCTTTTGCTGTAAGTTAGCCGGAGACGGTCTGTCACCTACAACGGAGGAGCCCTGGCCGGCCTCGTGCTGAGCTTGCAGAGGCTCACGGGTAAGTAACCTGTGGCTCAGCTACTGAGGATCTGCTGAAAGCAACAGAGGTCTGGGCAGAGGTGCTCAGAGCCGCGAGGAAGGATTTCTCAGTGACACCCACTTAGCCAAAAAGACATTTAGAGTGCAGTCTACCTTTTTGGTTTTTGAGGTGTTTTTTGTGTTTACAAAACGCAGGCTTCTCCTCTTTCTTTCCCTTCTCTTCAGGACGGTCCAGTCGGTCAGACTGGTTTACGTGTGTGGACAGTGTCCATGGGAGTAACTATGGAGAAACGCAGACTGACAGGACCGTGGCCGCCTTAAGGCCAACCTAAGGCGTGACATAGCCATGGGCTAATACTTCTCCTTCGGCGTGGGGCCTCCCACTAGGGCAGCTAAAGGGGGAAAAAAGCAACCAGGGACCCCACCTTGGTCCCTGAGCCCCGTCCGAGGCTGCACCCACGGTGAGCAGGCCGGAGCATCCACACCGGTCGGCATCTGAGGGAGTCAGGCCCAGGCACCCCTGGCCACTGGCGGATTTCCCAGGACCCAACACCGGGTTCCCGCTGGGCTCCAGGCTGTCGGGAGCCGTTTTACTGCCAGGGTACCCCATGTATGATAAAATTCCCGAAGGTCTGGGCAGTTCTGCAGCCACAGCCTCTCGACCCTGCGGACCCTCTGCACGCACTGCGTGGAAGGTGAGCGATGGCTGTGTGATGACCCACACAGGCCCTGGGGGCTCACCCGCTGAGGTCTCAGGAGACGCTCTGTGCGCACAGTGCCTGCTGTCGGCAGGGACCAGTCAACGAGCACAGCCCCCCGGGTATTCCTCCCAGTGTGAAGCCTCCCCCAGGGAAGGGCCTGTTCTCTGTCAGATTCCTTAGATCACAAGAGAAGGTTCTGGAATCAGGTCCTCCATGGGAAAGGCTAAAGCTGCCAGTGAAACGGAGGCTTCAGGGACCCTGACTGCAGTAAAGACACAGTTCAGGTCTCTCTGTAACAAGGCGCTCGCTGGGACAGAAAGACGGCAGAGCTCCCATCTGTCCCTGACCACGCTTCTCCCTAACTTTCTTCTGCAGGCTCCCAACTGAGGCGAGCACGTCACGGTTTCCTCCTCCTGGCGCAGGGTCACAGGGAACCACAATGCCTCCCAGACAAGCTCCCACTCATGCACGTGAGGGGAACAAGCGGGGTGCCCCAGCCTCCGAAGCACGACGCGATGAGGCCGAGGCCATGGCGGCGGAAAGCAGAAGGGAGAGCGGGCCCGGGAGAAAAGAGAAGCTGAGAAAGGAGGGGCGCCTCGGGCGGAGGCTCTCAAAGATGCAAATGGAGACGCGGCAGGGGCCTGGCTCCCAGGCTCAGGGTTAGCTCAGGCCCGGGGTGGGCCCCTTGAAGAAAAGGGATTGGGCTGACTTGAACCCTGACTTCTGAGTTCAAGCTTCAGTCCAGCCCACGGCAGCCAGGGATCCTGGGTGGGGCTGTTGACCCCGATGCCAGCTTCTGGTCACCGGGAACAGGAAGACCCTTGGAGCCCAGAGAGCTGGGTGCCAGGCCTGATGTGGCAACTAATTCTTCCAACTGGGCAAGTCGCTTAGCCTTGTATTCTCATCTGACAGGCAGAGAAAGAAGGCCCTGCTCCCCAAACCAGTGTGGGCTGTTGTGGGAAATGCCTTGAGACTGGAGAAAAGGGGGCCACCTGACAGCACACTCCGCCCCCCACCCCGGAGCAGCGCACCCCCAGGGCCTTCTGGCCTCCAGACTTCAGAGGGGGCTGGGAGACTTGCAGGGGAAAGGAGGCAGGGCCTGGCCAGGGGAGATGGTCACTCCGGAGTGAGAGAACCGGCCCTGGGCCTGAGCGTGGGCGTGCAGGAAGGAGCTGGGGGAACGACATCCCCGAGGTCAGATGTCCGGGCGGCCTGCCAGCAGAGCGGCCGATGTCAGAAGCAGGAGGAAGAGCCGACCGCCGGGCAGAGCGGCGGGCGTCGCGGTGGGGGAAAGGGGAACCGGCAGTCGTCGCTGCCCGTTGTGCAAGCCAAGCCAGGCGGGGCCCCGGCAACCTCTCCCTGGGAAAGGCAAGGCGCCCAGCCCTCGTCCGTGCTTTTTTTCTGTGTCCCTTCATCTCCCCTGGGAATAGGGGCAATCACGTTGTCACCAGAGTTTCATTTTTAGAAAAAGGACGGCCGGGAGGGGGCTGTCCAGGCCTCAGAGGAGCTCTGCGGGCCTAAGACCCCCAGGTGGCCTCGAGGGGACTCTCCCCTTCGGTTTTAGACTTTCTCTCCTCACAGCTGTGCCTCTGGGACTTGGTCCCCTGATTCCAAGGTGGCCTGTGGTGACTCACATTTTCTTTTTTAACCTTAAATCCCCACTTCTGTTACCTTCTTAGTCTGATTAGAAAACAAAAGCAGCTCTTCCCTCTCGGCTGCTATTATCTTGATGACATTTACATGAGGAGGTTACTGCTCAACCAGCTGGAGCGAAACCCCCTCTAGGTTCCTCTCAACCTGCGGCCCACTCAGAGCAAGTCCTCCCGTCGGTTTATCTGACATTCCATCTAGTGCATGTCATCACCAGACTGAGATTATTTGGGGTCTTTCTGGGGTTGTTTAGTTCGTGCCTCCCCCAGGAGGCCTAACCAAGGCCTGAGAGACTGCAGCCCCGGAGCAGGGCTGGGCATGTGTGGAGGTCTCGGGTGCAGGACAAGGGCCTGGACTTGGAAGGAACGTCCAGGCCCTGGCACCCTGCCTGTGAGCTGTGTGACCTGCCCCCCACCCCAGCCCCTGGGGTCTCAGGCCAGTTTCCTGTCTATAGAACAGGGTAGAGACAGACATGCCCCTGCCCCTCCCAGGGGGGGGCTCCAGGGAAGGGAGGGGTGTTGGGACCTCTACAAGGCCGCACAGAGCACACCTCCCGCCCAGGCTGCTGGAGGCAGCCGAGCCCCCTGCCCACACTGCCCTGTTCCCCCCCCATACTGTGCTCCCACTGGTGCCACACAGACAGAACCAGGCCAGGCCTGGGCTGTGCCCAACTACCTGTGAGGCACCGACACACTGACAATGAAAGCCCCTCTCCGAAGGGGGCTGCTCCCACAGCTGACGTGCACATCTGGGAGTCAAGGGGAGGGAAGAGGGGACAGCTGGGTGGCTCTGGGCCCGGAGCAGCCGCTGACTATCCACGAAGGGGAGAGGGGGTCTTGGAGGAAAGGAAGACCCTGACCCGAAACCAGCAGGAGTGCACACAGCAGAGCCCCTTTCAATGACCCACTGGCTTCCCCTGACTTCCTTTCCTTTTCTTTCTGAGATGAGTCTTCCTTCCCTGGCTAGGGCTGGGCGGCCACGCTCCTCCTGGCAGGAGCTCAGTCCACGTCTATTTGAAGAGCAGCTCAGCTGACCTTGGGCCCACGTGCCCTGGAACCGGCTCCACAGCCAACCCCAGCCAGGTCCGCCCTAAGACGGGACCAAGTTCAGCGGCAGCTGAGCCAACGGCACAGCTGGAACGGGGCAGGGATCCTCCCCCGGGGCCTGCAGAAGGCCCTCACCCCGAAGGCCATTCCTTTCTGGTCAGAGCTACTCTAGACATGTGCTTTAGACTCTGCAGGAAAACACCCATTGACAACAGAAAACAGAGCAGCCTCGGCCATGACGGAGCAGCAGCCAGAGAGGGACCGAACCGACAGCGAGCTGAGCAGCAGCTGGGCACGGGAACCCGCGTTCACTCCACAAATGTCCACTGGGCACCGCCGTGCACCAGGACCCGTCTTAGGTGCTGGGTGCTCAGCAACAAGCAAGAGACAAAGCGCCTGGCCTTAATGAAGCCCGAGTTCTAGAGTAGGAGTCGCTCAGTACACGAGACCCAAGGTTGGAAAGTGCCTCAGTGGAAGAGAGACTGGAAAAGCATGTGTAATGGGGGGAGGGGAGTGTGGTAGTGGAACTCAATTTTAGACAGACTGGCCAAAGAAGAAAGGGAGGGAGGGAGAGTCCTGCTAAGGGGAGGTCTTGCAGGCCAGGGAAAATGTACAAAGGCCCTGAGTCAGGCTTGTGTTTGAGCAACGAGCCAGGGCGGCCTGAGCAGAGTGAATTTGGGGGAGCAGCAGAGAGAGAGCAGAGTGGTCATGGGGGCCAGTGTGTGCGGGGCCTGGTACATCCTAGGAAGGGCTGTGGGTCTGCTCGGCCTGAATGGGAGGCCAGTACAAGGCTCTGAGAGGAGACAGATCTATGTTCCCTCTGGCTGCGGGCAGGGAACAGGCTGAAACAGCCAGGAGCAGGGGACCAGTTCCCACAAGAATCCAGGCAAGAGAGGATGGCACCAGCGGGGATGCTGAGAGACATCTAATTGCAGATATATATTAAATGCAATTCAGAAGGGCCGTGAGATGGGCAGAGCCCTGACTCATCTTTGTTTGTGCAATCTGTCCAGCCCAACGCTTGACACACCCAAGGTGCTCTGTCAAGGCCTGTGGAGTGGACACAGGTCTCGGTGGCTTTTGCAAGCTCCTGGGAGGGCGAGGGTCCCACCAGCCTGCTCTCGGCCTGGTTGCTGGTGAGCGGTAATAGAGGGAGCCCACGAGGGTGCTAGCGTGGGAGCTCCTGGGGGCTGTGAGGAGTGCCAGGAGGGGCACTGGGCAACGTGACCCTGACAGCAGGCCCCCTGCAGACCACAGACACTGCAAAGAGTTAGGGGGATGGTCCCATCTACAGAAACCCTCCACGGGATGCTTGTGCTGGATGGGACTTCTTCCTGCTCCTTGAGCAGGGGACAGGAGGCTGCTCTGTCCTCACTCTGACAGCCGGCTTATCTGCCTCTCAGGCCCAGCCCCCACGCCATTTGTTCAGAGGACAACTCTGGCAGGGGCAGCCGGAGGGCAGCTGTCACCACGGCCCACCACGCTGGCCACCAGACTGCACCTTCTTTTTCCAGCGTCTCCCACTCCTGGCATTCCTGAGGCAGCCACTCTCACCCTGCACCACCCTTCAGAGGCATGGCCTTATCTTGGGCCCCACGCAGGGTGCCACCTCCCCTTACCGGGCGGAGACAAGAAGGAATGTGGGTCTCGGTCTGGCGGGGACGGCAGAACCACGCTCGGTATTACTGACAAGGTGCCGGCCCAGCCGGCCTACCTCACTCAGCAGAAGGCTCCGGGGCGGGCAGGTTCCCTCCTTCCTGCAAGTTCTCAACCAGGCTTGGGGTTTCCCTGCGCCACCCCCGCCCCAGTGGCCACGTCCCACAGAGAGCACAGAGCTGCTCTCGGGCACTCTGGGCGCAGTCTGTGAGGCCTGCGTGCTCCATCCACAGCCCGGGCGGGACATCGGGCCTCGGAAGAGAAACAAAGTCCACGGGCCCTTACCAGCTCAGAGGCGAAGGTCCTGCACGTTACACAGTCGGCGCCCTGGGAGTCGCGGCTTTGACTCAGGATCATCACCATGGTAGGGACCTCAGGAGCTGGGCTCTGTCCCAGGGTGGGCACGAGCCATCTTCCGCTGGGCAGACTCGGGCAGACGCGATCTCCTGGGCACCTCCCAGGTGACTGATGTCAGCAGAACCAGCTCCCCATTGGCCGCTCACTCTTGGGGCAGGGCCCTTGCAGGAAATGGCCAAGTGTGGTCACCTCCCTGGGAAGACAGAAGGATGGCAGAAGGATTTAGGACTGGGGAAGACCAGGGCCCAGAGAGAGCTGCCCCCTTCCCTCCACGCCGGGCCTGCCTCCCTGCTGAAGGACATACATCCTGGGAGGGCCTCAAAAGCCAGGATCACCTTCTTGGGGTCCCCTCCCACCACACCCTGACAGGTCCAATGATGAACCTCAGTTCAGCCACGTGACACCTTTCAGACATATCTTAGGGTCTCACAACCTGCCATTCCCCAAGTATAATCGAGTCGTGTGACACCTTACACTGAGCTGGCTTTACAGACAGCTCAGTTGTCTGCCCACCAAGGCTGGGGGTCACACACGCAGTCAGCCCTCACACAGCCGACAGGAAGCAGTGGACCCACAGTCAGCAAGGTGGCTAGTCTTCCGCACCCAGATGTGAACAGAAGCTCCTGGGAAACTCAGGAGGACCCATGTAAAGGCACGTGACTCCCATCCTCGGAAGGATCACACCTCCACAATGACACGTCTGAACGCTGGGGGCCTGTGTAGCTTTGCTCCCTTCCCCAGGATGAGGCAAACCTAGTCACAGACCTCGCAGGGCCCACCCGTACCACTCAGCTCCCAGCAGCGGCAGGACCCCCCCCATGGTCACTCTGCACAGCTGGTCACACCTCCTCCCCCGTCCACCATGATCTCCCGCCAAACAATCACCAAGAACGCGGCCTCCAGTCCAGGCTGGAAGAGTCGCCCTTACCAATGAACTCCTCTGATCCCGTTTCCCATCCCACCCCTCTGCAGTGACACCTTCAACGAAAGTCACGTGGATACCTGAAGGTCACCGTCAGAAAGTCAAAACTAGTGATGATAACAACGCGTAGAAAGGCCACTCCTAATCTGTAATTAAAAACAAGCTGCTCCATGCGGGAAAATGTTTGTGAGTCTGCTGCTCTGTGTAAACTCATTGCGCCCTGGTATTTACTTGCTGCCCAGACTGTAAATCATACTTTCCTGTTTACTTCGATTAGACTTTACAGTGGGTGCTATTGAAATTGCTCAATTACGGGCCAGCTGGCAAGCACAGGAAGATTACCTTCCACTGTTCTTCGAAACAAGGTTCATCCAGAGTGCAGAGGCAGGGAAGGGAGGGGGGAAATCAATACACAGTCGGAGGCCTGACCGCTGGGGAGGGAGGCCCGGTGAGGTCCACGGGCTCCCGGCTCCGCCAGGGGACCCTGCGCAGTTTCGGCACCACGTCGAGCCAGAGCGCCGCGTTCTGACAGCGGGCGAGCTGCTCCAGAAGAGCCTCAGAGCGCTCCTGAGCTGGGGCCAGACGGCCAAGCCAGAAATGCCTGCCAGACCCCGGACACTTGGCTCGGGAGCCAGCGGGCGGGAGAGTGGCCGGAGGGGTGCTCGTGGACCGTCCCATGAAAGGGGCCCTTTGTGCCTCCTCGGTGGTAGAGGCAAGGCCTGGCGGGGGCCATCTCCTTTTTGGGTGCAACCTTGATTCCATCTTGGGGCGGCCAGCCACTGGCCTGAGGCCCTACTTCCTTCTTCCCTCACGGGGCAGGGGGCCTCCATGGTTAGGAACCCAGGTCCCAGGCGGGCACACCTGGGCTGGAATCCCAGCTCTTGAAATGCACTGTCTGATCACCTTTGCTAAGTTATTGTCCGAGCCTCGGTTTCCCTCTCCGTGGAACAGGGACAGTGTGGCTGCCTCAGAAGGTTACTACGTCACATGAAAACAGAACCCAAGCCCCGGCCGGGTGAGCAACCCCTGCTCACGGGAGGAAATGCTCAATTAACAGTCTCGACCGTCAGTCATTCCACGGGGGAGCCTGTGGGGCCCCATCCTTTCGCAGCAATGGGCACCCAAGCATCTGTCCTCTCAAATTTTTCAAAGGGGAATTTCATCAAGTTTTTTTTAAAATACTAAGATCCATCAGGAGGGGACCGGCTGTCCTAGGGCCCATCCGTCCGGTGAAACAGCAGGTGGCCAGCAAGAATGATGCTGTGGAAGCCTATTGCCATGGAAACAGGTCAGTGCATCCGAGGCAGCCGCTAGGCACCAAGCGCAAAGCTGAAAGAGGTGCCCTGGCTCTCACTCTGTCCCCACTGGAGCCCCTGTGGGACCCCAGGGCCCCAGAGGCAGCAGGGGGCTGGGGACTGGAGCACCAGGGAACTACGGGGGGGGGGGCAGCAAACACTGAAGGAAGAGAGAAAGTCCGGGACAATCCCAGTCCTCAGGGTCAGGGCAAGAGAGTGCCGGGAACGCAGGCACCGCAGGCAGGCAGGCGGGGAGGGGACGCTGGCGCAGAGTCCTGAGCAGAGCCCTCCGCAGGGGCCAGCGACACACAGCACTGCCTGTGTGTGGGGACAACCTAGGTGCCCATCAACAGGGAACAGGCTACACAAATCCCAGCATTGTTACGCACGGGACAGCTCGTCCCCTTCACCACAACTTCAAGGAGGCAGCTTTACCGGTACAGACAGGAACACTCTCCAAGACCCACTGGCATGAAAAGGGCAAGAGGGGGCACAGCCCGGCCGGTCCCACAGCTACGGCAGCCTCGGGAACGGACGCGGTTCTGGATGGAGAGAAGGCCTGGCGCGCCGTATTTCACCCGGTGCGCGCGACGCCTTTTAGACCCCAGGAGCCTCCCATCGGTGACTCATCTCCCCAGGATTCCCATCGAGAAAGGAAGGGCCAAGTCACACTTCCCGCTGACCCGTGACTCCACCTCCCCGACCACCCGCACGCTCCCGGGCTGCAGGTGTGGTGGCAGAGGGCCCGGGCGCCCCCAAAGTCCTTAACCCAAGAGTGCGTCTGTGTGAGGACAGCCCTGAGAGCCCCAGTACTGTGCCCGGAGCCAGGACTGCAGCGTGGGAGGGGACACAGTGTCGGTCGGAAGGCACCGAGCAACGGTGCCCGCCGTGGGCAAAGGCCCAGGATCCGGCACCGTGGAACCCAGCCTCCAGAGCCGCCTCCATCCCCGTGCCCCACACAACACGCTCCCTGCCTCCACCTCCCGCCTCCCTGGGCACCAACCAGGGGCCAGCTCTTCTCACTGAATCACCTCACGGTCCTATGAACAGGACGAGCTGTGGGCAGCACTCCCATTTTCCAGATGAGAGCATGAGGCTCCAAGAAAGTAAATCCAGTGGTTGCCTGAGATCCCCCGGCAGACAGGGGCAAGGGCAAGACGTGAGTCCAGGTCTGCCTCCCGAGCCACTCTCTCTGCCACCGCGGGGGACGGGGGACAGCTCTGCTCTCTCGACTCCTTCCTGACGTGAAACTTTCTTGCTTTCGCTCTGCAGCCTTCAAGGTGCTTTGGTTCGTTTGCGACCCTTGAACCCAGCTGTCTGATCTCACTGTGGGAGAGACTCCCAGCTCCCCGCAAAGGGGAACCCTGCCTGGTGCAGGCCAAATGCACTTGGATATGCAAAAAAAAAAAAAAGTATCACCTCTAAAAACCTGTGTCACTCTGAAGTAGATTAAAGACGTTTACCAAAAGCTTCTGCCACGCACTCTGAAGGGCCACCCCCCGACAGACACTGACCACGCTGGGAAGCAGAGATGGTGACGTTTCCTTCTTTTAGCGGCTTTCTCGTGTGTTTACAGTCCTGCAAGTTAGTTTTTATTTATTTATTTTTAAAAATATATCTTTATTGATTTCAGAGAGAGGAAGAAAGAGAGTAGAGACATCAATGATGAGAGAGTCATTGACCGGCTGCCTCCTGCACGCCCCCCACTGGGGATCGAGCCTGCAACCCGGGCATGCGCCCTGACTGGGAATCGAACCGCAATCTCCTGGATCCTAGGTCGATGCTCAACCGCTGAGCCACGCCCGGCTGGGCTGCAAGTTAGTTTTTTAGCAGCAGAATATTTCGCAGCCCTGCTCAAAGCAAAACCTACACATGACCTTGGCCACCGGCAGCGACTTTCCTGATGGCTTGAGGAAGCCCTTCTTCTCAGAGCCTTCATTTCCCTGTCCCCTTAAGCAGAGGCCATGGGCCGAGAAAAGAAACTGTGCAAGGCCTTTGGGAAGGCCATGTGCACCCTCCAACTCCCGTGGCTTCAGCCAGTGACACAAGCCGTCTGCAGGCAGGACCCAGAGGCAAATGTATGCACATCTGGGGACATGCGCGTCATAGCGGGTCACACTGCCTCTGCCACACCCGGGGACGAGCCAAGGAGAGAGGGCCNACTTTCTTGCTTTCGCTCTGCAGCCTTCAAGGTGCTTTGGTTCGTTTGCGACCCTTGAACCCAGCTGTCTGATCTCACTGTGGGAGAGACTCCCAGCTCCCCGCAAAGAGGAACCCTGCCTGGTGCAGGCCAAATGCACTTGGATATGCAAAAAAAAAAAAAAGTATCACCTCTAAAAACCTGTGTCACTCTGAAGTAGATTAAAGACGTTTACCAAAAGCTTCTGCCACACACTCTGAAGGGCCACCCCTCCGACAGACACTGACCACGCTGGGAAGCAGAGATGGTGACGTTTCCTTCCTTTAGCGGCTTTCTCGGGTGTTTACAGTCCTGCAAGTTAGTTTTTATTTATTTATTTTTAAAAATATATCTTTATTGATTTCAGAGAGAGGAAGAAAGAGAGTAGAGACATCAATGATGAGAGAGTCATTGACCGGCTGCCTCCTGCACGCCCCCCACTGGGGATCGAGCCTGCAACCCGGGCATGCGCCCTGACTGGGAATCGAACCGCAATCTCCTGGATCCTAGGTCGATGCTCAACCGCTGAGCCACGCCCGGCTGGGCTGCAAGTTAGTTTTTTAGCAGCAGAATATTTCGCAGCCCTGCTCAAAGCAAAACCTACACATGACCTTGGCCACCGGCAGCGACTTTCCTGATGGCTTGAGGAAGCCCTTCTTCTCAGAGCCTTCATTTCCCTGTCCCCTTAAGCAGAGGCCATGGGCCGAGAAAAGAAACTGTGCAAGGCCTTCGGGAAGGCCATGTGCACCCTCCAACTCCCGTGGCTTCAGCCAGTGACACAAGCCGTCTGCAGGCAG